CGTCGATCATTACAGGGTATTATCCCTGGTTGAATTTAGCCAATCAGAATTTCTTCTAGAATTTTTCAACTATCGATCATTATGGTATTTAGTATTTCCATCTATGGAAATATCCCTGACTGTAGTTATCCACAAAAAATATCTGCAATCGCCAAATCGATTTCTAAATTCATGCCAGCACTGTTTAAGTTAATTAAGGAGGAGTGTCTAGCTGAGCATTGAACTCTGCCATGCCAGGGTTGTTTATATTCAGTTAAGGATAAGTTATATCCAAGGTCGCTACTCCTCTGATTTAATTACCTGTATCATGCGCCCCCTTTCGGGCTTCGATTTAGTTTTATTATTCAGCTAAGATACTTCAACGCTAAAAATAAATATATGTGTTTTGGTATTTTCAGCGATGAGATATCTTAATTTAATTTTATAATTCTAAAATATGCAAGTATGGAGAAACAACAATTAACAATCAAGATTAGCTCTATTGTTTACCACCAATTAAAAAGCGATGTCGGTAAGGGAAAAATAAGTGATTTTATTGAGGGTTTGGTTGTCAAAGAATTAGGTTCAAGTGAAAAAAGAATAGAACAAGAATACCGCGAATGCTATGCTAATCCTCGTATGATAAAAGAAGCTAAACAGTGAGAAAAAGCCGAAATTAAAAGTTGGCTAAACTACGAAAAAAATAAGGATAAGCCAGCAACGGTTAAATGAAGTAAAAAACTAACAAATGGCAGAAAAGCTAATTAGACGAGGAGATATTTATTGAGTAGACTTACCGGACAGTAATGGACGAGAAATTAAGGATACTCACCCTGCTTTGGTAGTTTCAAACGATAGGCAAAATAACGCTAGCCCTTTAATAGTTATCATGCCAATTACTTCCTTAAAAGCCGGTGATAAAGCTTTTTCTTTTCAAGTGCCAATTACTTTAAAGAATAAGAGTGTGATACTGGTAGACCAAATCAGAACCATTGACCGAGATAAGTTTAAAGATAAAATTACCAAAGTTGAGGAGAAATTAATAGAGGAAGTGGAAAGGAAAATCCATTTTGTTTTAGCTTTAAAAAATTAAGCACTGAATAACGCCATTTTTACCCCCCCAAACCCTTAGCAAATTTTACTAACTTATTCAAAGAATAAAACTAAATAAGAAATAATTGTTAGATAATGGGCTTTTTCTTATTAAGCACTCAACCAATCCCTTATCAAAATATCCAGTAGCTCAGCAGGTTTTTTAAGCAAAAAAAAAAAAAAACACTATAAAAACTAAAATAAAGGCTAATTAGACAATCACCATGACAACAATAAAAATCCCATTTACTAAAGAAAGTATCCGACAAATTCCTGCCAAGGACTTAAACGCAGGAACCAAAGGAGTAGAGTTAGAAGTCCAAACTAATTTCTTAGTGTCGCAAATTTGCTCCATAGATAAAGCCGTTGGTAATCCAACTGACGGTTCTTTTGAAAAAATTTCTTTTGTCTTTAAGGATGATGCT